CCCTTGACCTGGCAATCCTTTTTTGTTTTCAACTCAAGCCTTTGACGAAAACAGTGAGCGTTTTTTCGGGGGTTTACTCGTAATAAAGTCGTGTTTGTAAACATGTACGTATACGGGATTCGTGAACAACGCAGGATTTTATCGCAACGAACAAATCCTTGTCTGTTCTATGCCTATGCTCGTGTTTTTAGAAAGATGTGTGGCTATGAAAATAGCCGTTTAACATGAAAGGGCAAGCCGAACTTATTTCTTTTCGACTTTGGCGGTGGTCTTCTTCGCTGCGACTTTCTTCTTTGGAGTTGCTTTGGCTTTCTTGGCAGCAGGTTTTTTTGCTGCCAACGGCTTTTGGGCGCTCTTTTTCGCTGGCGTCTTCTTAGCTGCTTTTTCTTTCGGTTTTTTCGCTTTTTCTTTGGCTGCTGCTGTCACCTTTTTAGTCGGAGCGGCTTTCTTTTTGGGCGTGCTTTTCTTCACTTCTTTGCTTTCTTTCTTGACTTTTTTAACGGTTGCAACAGGACTCTTCTTCTTAGCCGCCTTAGGCTTGGCAGCAACTCTAAACGAACCGGATGCGCCAACACCTTTCACTTGTACCAGCTCACCGGCAACGACCATTCGCTTAAGATTGATCTTCACTTGCGAATCGACATTGTCGCCTACCTTGTTGTTGGCTTTAACGTGCTTAGCGATGGCTTGTCTGGACGATCCTTTGCGTTCTTTAAGCGAGTTGATGGCATCAACAATCATGGCCTTGTACGGAGCATGATCGGCAGGCTTTTTGGGAGCCGATTTCTTAGCGATCTTTTTAGGAGATGCGGCTTCACTCATTTTCTAGTAATCACACAAACTTTGCAGCTTAGCTAAATTTTTCTTTCAAATGTTTGCATCGCAAAGTTGTTTTTCTTTTTCTAGCCGAGTTTGTGCGGACTGTAGAGGACTATCCAAAAATTTCAGCTACTCCGTCGAGCTGCAAATTGTGTTTTCGTGTCTACAGGGAGACGTCCAGCGTTCACGTAGCTCTACTGCTAGAAAGTGCATTTCTTCGAAAAATCTTCTGTAGAATAGTGACGCTCAACAAACTCATTCGTTTCCGTTCGATAGCGTTTCGCTAGCGATAGATATGCGCTAAAAAAGACAAAAATGCGCTCTGTCAAAAGCAAACTAGCGTGCGCGTCAAAAGAAAACCGAGGTAAAGTTGACCTAAATCAAACCAAATTTGCTTCTAAAGATAGACAAACAACACGGGGAGAGGAAAAACCAACGTTTTACGTTTGCCAAGCTATAGACGTTGCTTAGACAGCAGAGAAACAAGCGACACAGCAGAGAAACAAGCGACTTTTACTTTCAAATGCGCTAAAATCTGATGTACTTATCCTCCTCCCCCCTCCCCTCAAAAATAAAAAAAGTCATCTGTCACGCTGCAGCGTGACAAATGACTTTTTTTTTTTTTTTAAAAAAGCTTGTCGATTTTTGCCGACTTTTCTTTATTCAAACGTTCGCTTGAAAATTTAAAAACAAACGCGGCATTGGGTAATTCCACGTTGTCACAGCTTGCTGTGAAAAGTCGGCTATAGTCGACGAGCTTTTTTCGTCAATATTATGTATTTATTGCCGCTAATTACTTTAAGTGTAAATATTTGGTTGTTTTGTGTATTACAGGACAAATTATTTTTATGGTATTAGTAAATTTAAATAATGGAATGCAGTAATAAACACAAAATAGGCTTCGGGTGTTATGATGCACTTCTTCCAAAAAAAGAAACCCAAGCTTATTCATTTTTAAAAAAGTACCCTAAATTTAATGGTGAAGGAGTAACTATAGCCATTTTTGATTCTGGCATTGATCCTGAAGCTCCTGGATTACAAGTTTGTTATTTACTAAAAAAAAAAAATTAAATATCCAATACAATTTATTTAATAGTATACTAACTAGTTATTAATAGTAGTTATATTTAAATACTATACTAATTATAAATTGTTACATATGAAATTAGAATTATTTTAATAAAGCAAATAAAAATTCAAATCATGAAAAAAGAACAAATAATAAAATTAGTTTTTAATTTAGAGCACTCCTTCTGGAAAACGAAAAATTCTTGATCTTATTGATTGTAGTGGTAGTGGAGATGTTGATATGAAAACTGTTGTATGGGCTAATGAAAACAATGAAGTAATTGGCAAAACTGGACGAACACTTAAGGTAAGTAAATAAATTTTTTAAAATTTTTTATTCTGACTCACTCCCAACAAGACTGCAAAAAATTATTATTGAGTTTGGAGTTACTAAAAAAAAAGAATAGACTTATAAAGCAAGGAAATGGTTGACTGAAGATGTATAAAGCTAAAGGTTGTATGAGTCAGGAAAACATGAAGATGGGAGAGAGTTTCAAAGGATTGAGGTGCGGGAAAAAAAAAATTGACAAATAAAACTTTTTATAGCATGAAGGGCTAATACAGTAAAAGAATGAGACTATGCTAAATGACGAATCAAGTAAGAGTGAGTTTTAGTTGATGGATCTAGAGATAACAGCTTTTTTGAGCATTGAGCATGACCATATTATTTGTAAGAAAGAGAAAGAGATGCGACTTTATGATGATGGGTAAGAGGCTCAAGCTTAGCAAATAGAAAGGGCTAACTAACTACGTTTACAATTCATTTTTGGACTTTGTCTAGAAGAGAAAGAGCATCATTAGAAGAACCAGCCCAAATATAACAACAGTTTTCCATACAGGGACGAATAAGAAATTTGTAGAGGAAGAGAATGAAATCAAGAGAGATAAAATGGCAAGAATGATAAAGAGAAGCAACCTTAGCATATGCTAATTTAGAAATCAATTGTACATATGGCTTCTATGAAAAGTCAGTAGTAAACAATAATCCAAGAAAATGTAAAAAAGAGGAGTCAGTGAAAGGGTTGCCATTCATTAATATAGGAATGTCGAAATTACTGCGATAGTTGTTTGCAGTAAATAACTAAGTTTTGTTGGGGTTAAAATTTACAAGTCACTGTGAGCCCCAATCTGAAGTGAGATCAGATTCAACATTAATGTAGATAAAAAACAAAACAGGACTAAAGATAGAACCTTGAGGTACCCCAGAAATTACTGGAAATAAAGAAGAGTGTTAGCCTTCGAGGATGACTTAATAAAGTGGTTAGAAAGAAACAATTTGATAACTCCAAAAACTTTCCCAGATACACCATATGAAACAACCTTATGGAGAAGATAAGCATGCCAAACTTTGTCAAAAGCCTTAGGTATGAGCAATAGTTCTTCGCCTCCATCTAATGCATGATAAAATTTTTCAGTCACAACAGTTAGGAAGTCAGTCGTAGAGCCAGAGGATCAAAAACCATATTGATTATCTGATAGTAAGTTATTTGATTCAAAATGGGATGTGAGAAATTTGTTGATCAAAATCCCTACTAGACCTTGCTAATAACAGAAAGAAGACTGATCAGACTATAATTGGAGAGTCGAGTTAGAAGAAAAGTTCTTTGTAAATAGTTCTGCCTTATCCTTGGTAGAGGTAATAAGATCAGTCCCATAAATGAGAGATGGAATGTTAGGCCTACCCTTGTTATCGACACTGTTGAAGATTTTCTAAAAGTCTCTAGAGCCTAACTTCTGTGATAAGATACGAGATTTAGTGAGCTGAGAATAATAGAACTTAGCATCTGATGCCTTTTTACATCGATTTCTTGCATTAATAAATAGCTGTTTGTCCTCAAGAGAGTTGTTCTTTTGAAAAAGATGAAAAAATGATTACAATTAGATATAGCAGCTGCACAAGAGAGTGAAAGCCATGGAATAGAATGTGGCTTGACTTGGAATAAGAAGGAATAAAAGCTTCCATTCCTGCCTGAATACAGGAGGTTATGCAGGAGGCGAATTTTTCAGATGAGAAGGAAAAGATATCAGCCCACGGACCATCACAAAGAAAATCATGAAAAGAATTGAAAATGTTTAGGTTTACGAACTGGACTCTGCCCGAAAAGAGTACATTTCAGGGCAAACAGCAGGGGGGCACAATTTTTAATTTTTAAAAAATGTGAATTTCATCTTGAAATTTCTAAAAAAAAAAAAAATCTCAAAAAAAATTTGCAAAAAAAAACAAAAAAACAAAATCTTTTGTATTGTATATCAATTATGCGCATCTTTTAAGTTCTTTACATTTTTGTCAATTGTAAATTTAAAAAATTTAATATAACTGAAATATACATATTTTAAAAATCACACTAAACAATGTAAACAAAAATAAATCTACTTATTAATACAAAACATTATAAAATGAATTAAAATTATTTTACGCGAAATAATATTTGATTTTGTTTATAACTTCATTTAATAAAGGTTTATTATCCACACATTATTAAAAAAATGGTTGCTAATTAGGATTTGTAAAATTAAATTGTATCATCAGCAAGTTTTTTTACTGATTCTGGCAATAGCCTATTTCTCTCATCAGTCCAAGTACTCTTCATCATGCTGAACATTTTTTCTGCATTTGCATTGTGTGCTGAATTTTCAAAAAAAAGTAGCACATATTTTGTAAAGATATTAAATTAATTAAAAAAAAAAATTAAATCTCAAACAAATTAAATTGCAACCAAATAAGTATATTCCCTAAGTACAACATTACATTTTTTATAAACATGATAAATTTAATTTCATTTAAACTAAAGTAGTTTTTTTACTTTCGCTGAAATTAGGGATACTTATTGTTTTTGATTTTTTTTTCAGTATCATAGCATCAGAAAATTTTTTTAAAAAAGAATACATTTATATAATTTTTAGAGTACATAATTTTATTTGCTTAAAATGAATTCTTTTAAGAGGTTGATAACTCTAGTTCTCATATTTTTATTTTTCTATTTTTATTACACAATTTTTAGCATCTTTTTATAACTAAATCTTTTTTTATGTCATCTATAAACTTACTCTTTCCTGCTTACTTAACTTGAGTCTTTCTTTTTACTTCTACTTTCTACATCTGCATCTTAATGTTTTACATGTCTAGACAACTTTAATTTTTTTCTGGCATTTCCTATTAGATAAAGTTGCTATTCCCAATCCCTGTCTTATATCATTTTTGACTATAGGTATCCTAATTTTTCACTGTCATATACTATTTATTTTCTTATATATTTACTTATGTTTATTTTGCAATTAGAATTTGTAAATATGGTTGTTTGAAATTAATTTATATGCATTTTATTCTTGTTCTTGATTTTTTTAATTCTGTTCCACTAGCTGATCCAATTGTATCTCAGAAATAAAAAAAATGTTTACACTCTTTTAACCACTAATTCAATCTCTTTTTTAATTTACTTGAATAATTAAAAAAACTTATTTTAATTCTTAAAAAAATTTTTATTTTTTATTTTAAACCAACAACAATATGAGTACCTTGTATACTACTATATCTCTCATACCACCATATCTCTTTTTTTTTTCAGTATTTTAATTCTTAACTTTGTATTTATATTATTATTGTATAACCTTTGTCTTATCAATCTTTAGCTTAAACTGTAAAAATTAATTGAAAACTAAAAATATAAAAGTTTAAATTTAAAAAGATAATAGGACACAAGCTTATTATACAATGATTGCTTATCCATCCCTTGTAATGACAAATAAAAGGTTATTAAAAAAAAGCAAACAAAATCTATAATGAGAGAAACTTATATGTAAAAAAAACAACAACTGGTTATACATCTATAAAAGTGTTTTTCAAGATTTGTAGACATTATTTAAAGGGATCCCAAACTCCCAACACATGTTGTGTCCATATTAAAGATAATGTTAAAAAAAGGTTTGAACCAAGTTTTTTTGATTAAAAATAAATAATGAATGCATACCGAGAAAAACTAATTTTGTTGTTTTAGCCGAAGCTCGCCTTCTCCATTTTTTTCAATAACTTGGAGTCTTTAAATTATACGTCGCAATCTACAGACTTTGGCAATTCCTTTGAAGCGCGTTTAATTCATAAAAGTTTTAGTATTTGACATCACGGTAGACTTTTAACAAATGAAACTATGGAAATATATTTATTCGAACTTTTTTTGATTATTTGTTAAGTTTTTTTCTATTTTTAACATTTCAAAAGATATTAAAAACCTCAAATTTATGCTGGTTCGTTGCTATAAATTGTTATTGCGCCATATATTTAATGTTTATAAATTATCAATATTTATTATCTCAATCAAGACTCTGATAAAAAATTGTTTTACATTACTTACCCTTATAAAATTAGTAAAAGCATTTTTATTTTGGTTAGACAATATTTTTTTTATTTTTATTTTTTTTTTTAATTATCTTCGCTTCCAAAAAGGCTGCAAGCAACCACTAATTAGTGTTGGAAGTTACTGGAAGAAAAAAGATGAAGATTGTAGAGCAAGATAACGATTGACAGATGACTTAAAAGATTGCAAATTATATGAATCAGGAAAGCAAGATGAAGGAAGCGAATTCCAAAGAACTGATGTTCGAGGAAAAAAACTAGACGAATAAGAGTTTTTGGAGCACTTAGGAACAGTAACAGAAAAAGGATGAGACTTAATTGAATGACGAGTAACACGAGAATGAATTTTTGTAGATGGCGCAAGAGATGCTAGCTCTTTCGAGCAGTGCCCATTATAGTATTTGTAGAAAAGAGAAAGAAAAGCAACATTACGACGATGTGACAGAGGTTGAAGGTTGGCTGCAAGAGCAGGTTTAACTATGTTTACAATGCGTTTTTGCACCTTGTCTAAAAGAGAAAGGCCATCATTAGAAGATCCGCCCCAGATATGGCAACAGTATTTCATACAAGGCCGGATTTGAGATTTATAGAGATAGAGAATAGAATCCAGAGTTAGAAAGTGACGAGCTCGATAAAGAGAAGCAACTTTAGCAGATGCTAATTTTGCAACGGATTTGATATAAGGTTTCCAAGAATTATCAGAAGTAAGAGTTAATCCTAGAAGATGAAGGGTAGGAGACTCATTGAGTACATTACCGTTCATAAATATAGGAATGTCTAAATTATTGCGATAACGATTGGCCGAAAAAAATTGAGTTTTATCTGAATTAAAGTTCACCAGCCACTGTAAGCCCCATGCTGTAGCAGAAGTGAGATCCTTTTCAAGCTCAGATGCATCCTGCAAGCAATCAGAGGGAGTTGGCTTCTTATCGTGACAAGAATAAATGGTAGTATCA